GCTGGGAAAAAGAGGATATATGGATAGCACTGCTCCTCCTCACCCCTGCCGTGAGACATAACCATGGCAGAGCAGTGCCAGGCTAGACAAACAGCCCAACCATTCCGGTGCATAGTGATTTGGGAATGGCATACATCTGCTACTGGGATACCACTGCAAGAATGGTCTGTCCCGCAGCATTTCTCCTCAATTCACAAATCCAACAGCTTTGCAAATAAACTGCTTTTCCTCAAGCTGTAAAAAGAAGAAAAACACCATAGCCAACAGGCTGTTCTTCTGTCTTTCACATCAATACTTTTGAGGTCACTACAACAGCTCTTCAGTTTAAAGCATTTACTCTAGAAAGGATGAGGAAGACACCAAAGAGGCATCTCCAAGTTCCTTTTTCTTGCAGCTTCTCTTTGCTGCTGGTCTGTCCCGAGTCAGCTGAGGTCTGTTTAAGCCAGCACGAAGCGGGGTGCCTTGGAGGCGAGCTGACTAGGCTCCCGTGGCTTCGCTCTGCCCACCTTCTGCAGCTTTGGGAGAAAGGAGCCAAACGAGGCCCATCTGTCCAAACGGAGGGGAGTCCTGTGCCGCCATCGTAAAGCACGCGCCATTACCCCACACAGACGGTGCCTCCCGGGGGCCTGAGTGCCAGGAAAGGCACTTCCAATAGCTGGAATACTGGGGCAGAGCCAGCAGTGCAGGGCTGTGCTGCTGAGCCACTGACTCTTCGCGCAGCAGGCTCAGGGCTCTGCCCACAGTGGGACTGCACACACCGCCCCGCACCCTGCAATAATCCCTGTTTAATGCTGGGAACTATATTATTCTATCAAACTACAGCCCTGCAAAATAAACTTGATTTTTTTCCCTATTTAAAAATAAATAAGGAACTAAGAAACTTCAGCAGGTCAGAGGACATAATGCTGGCTGTATTCTGCGTTTGTACAGCTGAAGTCAGCAAGGGCTTCGCAGGCGCCTCAGCTGAGGCTAGACTGACATCTCGAGAAGAAAGAAAGTGGCCCTAAGTGACCCGCATCATGAGGTGCAGCTGCCACCTCGAGCGAGCAAACCACTCCAGCCAGCGCCAGGGGGTAGGGAAGCACAGGCAGAGCACGCAGTAACACGCGCCGAGCTCCAGAACTTCTCTGGAAGGAGTCAATCTCGTGGTGGAGCCGTACACGTGTGGTCAGTCCTGCACTGCCCTTGCAGGAGCCTTGTGCAGCAGCAGACGTACGAACCACTCCTTGCTTTGCCATGCAAACAACGTGTTTAATGAGCTATGCAGTCTGAGACTTCCAAGTACTATGTTATATAACAGCACCCTCCTCTCTTTCTTTTAGTAAAAAGTATGGCTTCAGAATTACCCCATCCCTTTTCAAAGCAGAGCTGCTGTGAACTACCAGTCATCACGTTCAAAATTTACAAGCTCTGCAACAGCTAGTGAATGTGCTTACCACCACAGCAAAAATAAAAGTGGCAAATATTAAAAACAAAAAACTCATTAACCTGTTTCCTGTGAGACAAGATTTGTAAGAAAAGCCTATAAATTTATAAAATAAAAACACAGAATACACTTGGAAAACACAAACTCACAGAAGACCTAAAAAAAAAAAAAAAGGACAAAACCTTTTTTCTCTGCTACAGGTGATATTTACGAGTCTTATGAAAAAAAAGCAAAAAAGGTTCGCAATGAAAAAAGTCTAACAATCGCTAATACATATACACAATACATATATATCCCTAAGCAATGAATAAACATTTACTCATGTTGAGGACAATAAGCAAACAGAAATTGTCCAACAGTGAAAACACCATATTTTTGTGCAAAAAAAAATATATATTCTTACACTTCACAAAAACAAGCTATGAAGATGACCTGGTTTTAAATTAGTTTCGGCTAAGGTGGTAAGGACTCCCTAAGGAGTCTATGCAACTGGATGGGTGAAAAACTGGCTGGTTGGGCTTTAAGGGTAGTGATTCATGTGCTGTACTCGGCTGTTGCAGGGGTCTATCCTAGGACCTATTGAGTATCTGACGAGAAGATGGAGCAGACCTTCATCCAGTGTGAGGGATTCAGAGGGCGCTAGGTAGGCTGGAGAAATGGGCTGACGGGAACCTCATGAAATTCAAGAAGCCTAAATGGAGCCTTGCACCTGAGAAGAAATAACCACATGCAACAGTACAGACTGGGGACTGGCTGGGTCAGCTGGCTTTGCTGAGAAGGCCCTGGGGACTGGGCTTAGCACTGTGCCATGGCTTTGACTCAGTAATTCCCCTCTCCCTCCACCTTATATTAACGAGAAGGGTTCACAAAAGTGAAGATTGTTGCCATTCTAGAGCCTGAAACCAGTATCTGAATACGTTTTGAGCAGCACTACTTGCACAGCCTGTGCAGTGCAACAGAGACACAGCACTCGCATGGGGAGCCTCTTGTAGCAAGGAAACAAGGCATTCATTAGCCACTTTGCTTTGCCTCCAAGAGTTGAGGTTTGCAAGCGAGTGTGTGTAAGCAAAAACTGCTCTAATTAAAGAATTGCTAAGAAATGCAGATTCCGAGGCTTAATGAATCATAACAAATACCTAAAAAAAACCATCATCTTGTAATTGAGTCAGCTGGAATGTTTGCCTGCATGAATGCAGCCACGTGTAGTTACTTCCCTGTGTAGAACTTTTCAACCAGAAATACTGATTCTTCTTCAGGGGCATAAATGACAATTGTTTGTAACAAAGTCATAACATCTCTACGTACCATATCGAGGTCTTGGGAAACCCTCCGTTTGCGTAGCTCTTCCATCCTTTCACACACATCCGTGAAGCAGGTGTTATAGTAGTCTGCATATTGCTGTGCCAGGTCATCAATATTTCCCAAGGACCCATCCTAGAGTGGAGACAAAAGAGAAGGAAATAAAAAGATTAATGAATTTTAAATTTCTAATTTAAAAGTAACATCACGCCTCCGAAGTTGTGATGTTAAAACTCCCCTCTTCCCCACAGCATGTCACCCCCTTGCCCAGCACCACCCGGGAACCCCTTGGGGCTGAGGTGAGGCGTATTCCAGCATGCGGAGCTGACGGGTGCTGAGAAGGAGCTTGGGGCCTTGCCATGGCTCCCCGCACCTCGGGCGCAGCGTCGCCCCAGCAGCGATGCCGGCGGCGCCTCCGTGCACTGCGCGCCCTTCCCTGACGTCGGGAACACGCTTCCTCCCCAGCACGGGCCTCTGCGTACTGGGAGCAGCCCCGCTTTCCTCGGCAATGACTAACAGCCATTTTTAAACATTAAATGTCTCACTCTCAAGCACCATCAGCTGCACTGCAAACAGCTCCAGCTGACTGTGGCAGCAGGCAGGTCTGTGGCACCGACCAAGGCGCCCTGCCGGCTGGGCCTCAAACGTGCTGCGGGGGGAAACATGCTCTGCTCAGTCCCAAGTGTCCCCGCTGCCAGGCGAGAGCGCTGCCCCGCTAATAAAAGGGATACGGCCAGCGCTCTGGTGGCATTCGGATGCTCATTACTGTCAAAATGCAAAAAAATAAAACAAAATGACAACAGCAGGCCGGACTTCTCAAAGTCAGTATCTGTGCCATAAATGGCAGGAGGTGGCAGTGCGGCCTAGCCAGTTTTTGCACAACACGCACACACAGTGCAGGCCCGTGAAGAGGAAAGGGTAGGATAATTCTGCTTCTCTTCTGATTTATGCAAAAGCGCATATGTTATCGTGTATATTCCTCAAGGGTGACAAGCTACACTTGGTGCGTGTTCTGAGAAATGAACAAGAACACTGTTACTTCATGGTTGCTACCTCTTAATATATGCAAGGCACACAAATTTAAAGTTATGCCTTGGATATGAAAAAAAGAGCAATTGAGAATCCATTTTAAAATAATTACACTAGTTGCAATGCAGGGCTTTATTATATGAGCTACAAGGACATCTTTTCTTTAGAAACTGTACCTTACTGAAGTTTTTGCCATTTGAAAACCCATATGTGGTTGTCTTCTGTGGACTCTTCCCCTGTGCTGAAGAGGCAGGTCTATTCTAATGAAGTATCACTTGTACAGCATTGACAAAAACACATGCCGATTTAAAATCAAAGGGAAAGCCTATTAAACCTGACCCTCTGTAAAACACCGTTTCTGCTTCTCCTAAGCATGTTTCCACATGCTCAACTGGTGCCTGCAGTCCCCCAGGAAGTTTTGTAGAGTTCACGTTCCCCAAACCTGGAACCATTTGCAGCTTTTTTAATTGGCTATGTGCAGTGCAGATGGAAGACAACTTGCAGGCCTCTTGTTAAAGCAGCAGTAGCAAAATAACTGTATTAGAAAAGAAAAAAATGCATATCTGTATACATATCCCTCTGTATATACACACTTTTCTACCTCTCAACCTGCCTAGGTTCTCAAATGGGAGATACTTCAAAAGCTGCAAGAGCTTCAAATCAGCAGCCACAAGGCTGATTGCTTGGCCTCAACACCCTTACGGGAGCAGCTCTGCCCTTTCTCCCAGCTGGGTGCTCCCAAGCCACTGCTGGGGAACAAGCCCTAAGGAAACTGTAACTTTGCAGCTGCACCGCGAACGCCTCTCAGCCGCAGAGCTGCTCTCGCCACGTTTACGGGCTCACCAGGGGCTGCAGCCCCACCACATCGGGGAGGGAAACGGACACCAAGCACCAGCAGCAAACTGAGAAATGAAGGTGCATGTATTTGCCGGCTGCTGCAGGTGATGATTAAACTTGTGTTGTTGTCAAAAACATGACGTGAAATCTGCTTCCCTTTATTCAATGGTAACAGACATTTCTCATTTCTCTCTTAACGATTATCCGAAATTCCCACTCTGGAGCATCCTGCCCTCCCAGCTGGGGTCTGTCCCTTTCTTAATGGGTTTCATCAGGTAAGGGTAAAAATACTGACAACAGGAATGACAGAAGGGCAGAAAGGGAAAACATAATTCTATTAAAATAACATGAAATATCCAATTTACTTTGTCAGTCTGTCTCCATTCTGAATTCCAGAGACCTCTGAATTTCACATAGCTATCTTGCTCTGAAATAGGTACAGCTTGTGATAACATAAGCTATGCAACAGAAAACTTGGTTTTAAAAGGTACTGTCCTAACTCCAAGACTGAATAAGATACTCCAAATCCAAGCCTATCACCATATTGCAAACCTAAGCTTAGCTAAAGCGCCAAACGAGCTTTACTGGAGGCTACGTGATGGTTCGAGGAGGAATGAGGAACGCTCTGCAGCCGCTCTCCTCACGTGGTAATTTGCAGCACGCTCAGGACTGCCAGTGAATCACACAAAACTCAGTCTTCACGTTGCGACGTGGAGCTTACGGATCAGAAAGTGCTTTTTTAATGGCCCTGACAGGCGTGAAGGCTTCAGGTGGTGCCTAGAGCGAAAGCAGCTCTGATCCCGCACGGCCGTGAGGCCCGCGAGGATGAGGGCAGCCCGGCCGGCCGCCAGCACAGCGGAGGCTCCAGGGACAAACCCCACGAAGGGCAGAAAGGCCCTGGAGGCCGAGCTGCAGCCACCACCCTGGCGCGCACAAGGGATTTGGGGCAACGCACAGGACTCAAATTACGGGCCATTTATCGAAGACACCTCAAACCAGCTCTACGGGGAAGAAAAGTCCTGCGTGGCAGAAAGCTTGAAGTCCAAATCAGGAAGGAAACCGAAACATGAGAAGAATTTTAAGCCAAGCGTCAAGTGCCTAGTACCTTTAAATACTATTAATAATAATAATAATAAAAAAGAAAATAACGTTAAATTTCTAAGGCAATGTTAATGGCTGAGAGGACTTGCTTTAGATTTTGCCAAACCACAAATAGAACAAATCAGAAACGACTGTGGTTCAAAAATTACCTTGTCTGACTGGTCACTCTATCAATTTCCTAATTTCTCCAAACAGTTAACTACCTCACACAAAATATCCACCAGGGCTTTGTATTTCTATTTTGTTTTCTAGTGAATTAAGTATTACAAAAAGTTGCTAATAAAAAAATAAGAATTTTAAAATATGGAAATATACTTTAGAATATCTAAAAATATGTGAATCTTGAGCATTCAGCTTGAGAGCTCATTTGTCTTCCTTACACAGCAAAGATAGTCAAGGAATTTTCTAAAAAAAAAAAAACCCACCCTTGCATTACTAATAAAACCGCATAATAAAAGCATTCATAACCAATGAATGTTTCAAAGAGATTTCACTCTGCTGTACAAAGGACAAGAGCCAATGTCAATTGTCGTTAAGCTCCTTTTACTTTCCTGCTTTCATACACAAGCCACAACCTAGACAATATTTAACGTAATAGGAATAAAAGTCAAAAATCATCAGTTTGGTCATTCCTCTTCTTCCTTATAACACTCCTACACTGCAACAGGGAGTAAACAAACTCCAAATTGCCACTTCAGTTTCACAGATAGAAAACAGCAGAGAACTTTTTAATACCCCTCCTCAAAAGACACTGTAATTTATTACAATTTAATTATATGTAATTTCAGCAGCCACTGATGTGGTCTTAATTGCTTCGGGCCAGTAAGATGTTTAAAAGCAAGACTGCATAATAAACTCTTACTTTTTTGTTAGAAATTTAACAGTTAGGCAAAGCATGAAAACAGATTTGCATCAGTTGTGTTTATTGCCATATAAACTATAATGTTCCAGGTCCATAATCCCATTACCACAGATCTCTGCTGGAAAAAAATCTGTAAGTGACACAAACACTGAGTAAAAATACCATTCCTGAAATGCTTTATTTTATTTGTAAAAAGTTAGTTAACAATATGTGTCTCTTAAAACTCTATTCTAAAAAAGCCTTAGCCCTTCTCACAAAACAGTCTGGCAGCTGGGAAAGTAAACATTGCACAAGTTTTACAGGGTAGAATCGGAAATTAACATTTAACACAGCACTCTGATGATAACAGAAATTATCCCATATTTCCAATTTTGTTCGTCAGCATGTTACTGAATTTCTATCTTATCACATATGCATGCAGCAGTTTTTGGCATTATAAAACACAGCCAGAATGATAAATTACCCTGGAATTCCCACAGAATTAGTTCTGATATGCATGTGAATACCAAAGGAATCCATCGAGCTTCGTGTTAATGGAGTGGCTACAAAGAGAAGCTGGAATGATTTGACACTTATTATAAAGTTACGATTTATCGGTCACTGCACATCAGTTGGTTTAACATGCTGGCAGCAGCCTTTGTATTTGACATTTAAAAGCCTGGAGGAAAATGTTTTGTCAGAAAGCTCTGTTGGTAATAAAATTAAGGTAAAAAAAAAAAAAAAAAAGGTTTCATATTTGAAAATGATAATAATAAAATAGAAATAGAATTATCACAGAAAGAATAATGGTCTAATAAGTAACATATCCATTTGTGCATTTGGTAAAGCTGCATATGGACTCAAATATCAGGCATTGCCAGCACATACATACTTCATATAAGAAAGAATAAGACTTTAGAAGAAGCTGTCTATACAGCTACAAGGAAATAGAGCTATTTGAAGTGGCACTTTGCTGTCTCAGATTCTTTGACAAAATGTTCTAAGTTACACATTCCAGCACTACTTTCTCCTATTGCAGCAGAGCTCATGAACGTCAGCACGGAGGTCTTGGCCGGCAGATACATGGGCCTGCTCTGCAACCCAGTGAGTAGCACTCACGTAAGTGCATGGAAGTGCATGAAAACGTTGACAGAGAGGCAGATGGTAGAGCTCTGCTTGGCGAGCACAGACCCATGTCCCCACCAGCGCCCATCACCAGCACCCACAAAAGTTACCAGCTTTGGATCCACGCCAGCTACAGCCACAGCACATGCACGAACTAGGAGAGCAGGAAAAAAGTTTGAATTGAGGAAAAAGCCGGATTTCTTACATTAAAATATATGTGGAAAGGGCAGAGATGAACGGGACCCGCTCCTATAAAATGCGTTGCAGCTATCCCTGGCAAAGGCTTTTGACCTTCACAGCCCAAGATGAGAAAAATCCATTTCCATGCCTGAAACACAGGACTACTGTGTGGAGAGTCACTGTAAACATTAGCAGCTTATTTCTGGCACTTGGATCTTAACAGGGAAGCCTACCAAAAATTTGTGGAACACGATCCTGCATTTCAGCAATACCTTTGGTTTGGATAGCTGGAAGGAGCACATAAATGAAAGCCAGGATGTGGGCCATAGCAAATAGGTTTTTTCGGGTGGGGAAGAGAGACCAAAAATGTGGCAAAATGGGAACATCTGCTGAAGGGAAACATGTTTTTGCCTAATAAAAAAAACAAGCTGTATTCAACAGGGCTTGTCCTATAGAAGGCTGCCCATAAGACCTGTGAAGTTTAGCAGCACTAGCTCACCTAAGAAAGCAGGGGCTGCTCACGTTTCCCTGGGGCAGCTTTGAGGCGGACAGGGACAGTCCCTTTTTAGGTATTTCTCCTAGGAAGGGCTGGCAGGACGCGGGAAGGCTGCGCGCGCCGCTCCGGGCGCCCTGCGGCTGGCAGGGCCTCTCCCCGCGCGGCCAAACGCCCCGAGAGGAGAGTTTCGAGCACTCGGCTCCGAGCAGCATCGCGCTGCTCCTTCCTCCACGGCGCTTTTTAAGGAGGCAGAATTAAAACAGACCTGGCGCTTTCCAAACGCGTCAGTTAAATCCGTGCGCCTCTCTGCCTTGGGCTTGTATTTGCTACAGTAATAGAGAGTCACGAAATGAGGACAGGCATTCATAGAAAAAGCTGCAGAGCTTCCTGATAACTGTACTTGCTGCGTCTCTCTGACCTTCTTTCCAGCCCTTTGTGAGCTACATGTTTCCCCTGGGAAAAAGGCTGATGTTCCACACATTGGCTTAGTTTCAGAATGATCACCATTAAAAATAAACCTAACAAGCTGCTGGAGAAGCATTTCCTTCTTTTCCTGCGGCTCAGAGAAGAGAGCCTCCCATTCAGCAGCAGAAACAATCCCACTATCCACACAGTGACAGGTTCAGAGTCTGGCTTGACAGTCGGCAGGGTCAGAAATGCGAATGCGGCCCAAGTGCAGGGTCAGGGAGCCAGCATTTGCCCCAATATTCAGGGGAAGGCACAAAAAATTCAATGTTTTGACATTTTTAGATGCAGAGCAGCTATTTTAGATGATGTCTAAAGGTTGTCATGGTCCCACTGACCTCTCTCTAGCTGTACATTGAGAGCACAAAGAGAACACACAGCTCGTGCTGGGAGACTTTCTACTAATTTTTATGGCATCCGAGAGCCGAGTTGTTAAGCTACACAGCTTCACAGACTGAGTTACAAAAATAGATCTAATAAAAATGTGTTAAGCTCTCTGCAGCATGTCTGAAACAGTTCTAGAATCTGTACAATAAACACAATATACAATGGTATGGTTTGATGTAAAAGCTTTCATAGCATTTATCTGATGTAACTTGTAACCCAGAGCACAGTCATTCTGAATTCAAAAATTTTACATTGAATCACACAGCTATAGAACCTTTTTCTATTGTATGAGATACTTTATCATATGATTAGATCAAAAGAAACTCTTCCCAATTACAGAATTCTGCAACATTTTTTTTTCTTTTACCATCAGCACCATCATCTTTTTCCCTCTGATTTTTTGCTGTACAGCCCTGAAGCTTTGCCAAAAGTACGTAACAAAGCATCTTCAGAAAAGCCTCCTGACTATAGTTTACTTTTTTTTTCTCCAGTTTGTAAATAAAATATTTTTCCAAATATGGTACTAGGATCCTTCTTTCTGGCACAAAGCCTAAAACGTCCTCTATGTAAATATATATATATATATTATATATATATATGTATATTTGTATGTGTGTGTGCTAACCAAAGAGTTCTATCTATGCAAATGTACATTCTGACATACTTAAAGAGTATCACAAGTAGAACAAGCTCTTTCACATATTATCTTGACAGGCAAGATGATATACAAATTTTATTCGTAAAAAATATGAGTTCAAAGCATCCTTAATGTCCAGCTTCCCTAATAGCAGCATATTAACAGCTATCCTCCAGGGGTGATCTACATGAAGCTCATCAAAATACAGCCCTAAATTCCTGCCGAGATCCCGGCCCGGCCAGCAGTCCCCGGCAGGCGGGTCAGGAGCCAGGCCCCGGTTTTCCGGGCAGCCTTTGCAGGAGGGCAGGTTCCCAAACCCTCGGCCCTTGCCGCAGATGCACCTGGCACCACTTCTCATTTTCTTTGCCCGCCGTTTGCCGAGACTTTTGCCTCCGCTTGAAGGGAAACGTATCCGCGCACATTAGCTGCGGTGCGTGTCTATGCTGCTACCTGCAGCAGAAACAAGTGATAAGCAGAAGAACGTGCTTGCCGACATACATGGGAACAAATACGTGATTAACACATCATTAGGAGATGAACATTAATTTCTTGTCTCAGATTCAGGAACTTTAGCATATGTTATGGTGTGGTTTCATGTTTTGATAAGATAGAATCTAGAGAAATAGATATGCAAAATGCCAAACATCTTAAGCAGATGATGAAATAAACCCTTATCTCACCAACTTGGCTGCATGAACTGCAAAGTGAACATCTCAAATTCTCTTTTTAAAAACTAAACAAAAAAAGAAAAAAACATACAAGAGTAACACGACATAGCAAAACCCAATTCTCACGAGATGCTTCAGACCTCCTATATAGCACTGAGGTGGAAGCCTCTCATTAAAATAGTAGCCTGAAAAAATAATCACTGAAAAAGTAGTAATTTGGAAATTTAAAGACAAAACAAAGTGAGAGGATGACTGTATCTCTAAGTCTGACCTTATTACTTTACAGCATTTGTCAATGTATTTAAGTTGGTAGATGAAAAGAAAACAAACTTTGGACATATTTATGTCCATGTTTTATTACAAAAGCACTGTGATTTCTACATCCTACCGTAATCATGAAGGGGCATGCCCTCACACTGGATACCATGGTGAATAATATAATGTAATAAAACAAACAAACAGAAACAACAAAAAATGCACTAATCTAAGTCAATGAAGCAAGAAGCACTGAAAATGTACTTAATGATTCTGCTATATGAAATTCAAGTTTCATCTTCTATTTCAACTAAGGAAAAGTAGGCAGAAATTGCCATAAGAGAAGCGGTAAGAGAAGCGTTTAATGGTAAATGTGTGGTGAGAAGAATGAGAAGCACGATGTTATTTTAGGAATGGGCAATTATTTTCCTATTGCTTTTGCAACTCTGTCTTGTGTGTCAGTTGACCTCCATACATGAATGATATAAAGAACATTAAGACCATGTAATGCTACACAAGTGTTCTGCTTCTATACAAGATTTTCCTTTAACCTAATCATTTTATCCCTGAATTGAAATTTTCTATCTATATCATGAACACTAAATGGAACTGCCTAGTAAACTTTGCATTTGTGAATTTCTATTGCATCAACACTTAGCAGTAAAACTTTTACAGCATACCCTACCCTACTTATTTTACTGTTCAAGGTAATCATTTTTCTCCTGTAATATAATATACAATAGGCCATAACAGGTATATGGATAAGAGGCATATATGTACTTGGTGCCATACTGTAACTTGCCTGTCTAATAAATAATTCCTTACCCAATTTGGTGGTCCTTAACTAGCTGCTCCAAATGAAACCCAGGAAATTTGTTCTGTCCTGGGAAGTGTGTATAGCAAAGAGGCTAAACCTGTCCCTCCCACCCAAACGTTCTGCTATTCTATTACTTTTCCTGCTAGAAAGTCTAGAAGATGCAAACACCCCTTTTCAGTGCCTTGAGACTAATCTCTCCTTCACTCCTACTGCTTCCTGATGCTCAGTGTTTTACCAGGAAAGGAAGTAACTGTAATTGAATATGGCAGAAATCCATTTTTCCCCACGTAATCCCAACAGCCGGAGAAACAGTTTCCTGCAGCCCCGTTGCATGCTCTGCGCCGAACCCTCCCTCGTGCAAAACCTCGTGGGATTGGGCTACGGGGTTTTGTGTGCTAACTGAGCATCGTGAAGGCTCTTTGGAGAGACTTTGAAGAGACATTTTATTTAGGAGCAGTGATGCACTGTTATCATGGGGTTTCAGTTCGTTTAATTAAGCTGAATACAATTACACTCCAGTGGGTATTAAAGATGCAAGAACCCATTTAAATATTATTTAGATGCGTATCTTAAGTAGCACAGGCTGCACAGGGCTTCAGGTTTATATCAATTAGGGATATCAGCTTAGTAATAAAAGCTCCATCACTTGTCAGTTTATAATCCTTTCTACTGTGGGATCTGGCGGTTTATTTGCGCATTTCTCTTTCTCTGTGTACAGTGGAGAGGGCCTTTCTGCTTTCCTATGTGCCCATAATGTCCCATCATTGCCAAAGCGCTTCCTAATTAGGCTAAATAGGCCACTTAGTCAAATAAAAGGGAAGTATCTGTGCATACCCACAGAGCAAATCCTACCGAGTCTGCACCTGAAATAACCGTGTGCTTGGCAAGTCTCCCAGGTGTTTCAGAGAGAGGCTTCTCCGAAGGGACAACATGCTCTGGAAAACTTATGGGAGTCCCCGACAGCAGAACCTTTCTTGGAATGGGTATTTGAGTGCTTAAAAGGCCACGGTGCTCTCTATCCCAGGACTGTTATGCTTTAAAGCATGTAAGGGTTTTGCTGGAGGTTGAACACATTACCCAAGTGCTGCATATTGCAGAGATGCACCCTGAACTGAGGCATAAAACAATTTTAAAAAACCCCACATGGTTAAAGAGATCATAAAAATAGAGTGAGCAAAGGGGATGCCTCGCACTTGCTGTTCGCAGCACATGTCCCATCAGCTTCGAATCAGGGGCTGCTCTAGTAAAG